CTGGCTAAGTTTGAGCAGTAAACCCACGCTGGAACGCGCCGGGCGGGCCTGTGCAGTCATGTGTTTTTGCATCGAACTTGAAGCAATCAGGTCATTAACTGTATGAATGGCTGTTGCTTTACACCTACCTTTTGCGGTCACCAGCATAAATCATCACAAATTTTGCGAAGTAAATGCGCAGTCGTTCTTTAGAAGTAGCCTCGTTGCTCAGTGAGGAATTTTTCCGCCAAGAATTTCAAGTGTCCGTTAGTAAGAACCATGCGTGCCTCAAGGCTGAATTTGAAACACTTAAGTTATACTTGGACAGGGAACATTCCTCCAAAATTTCAGCTTTCCAGCTTTTCTGGTTACCGAGTTAGCAATTTTTTCGCCAAAACTTCCACATGCTCGCACTTGGGTACTCCACGTGCCCGGAAGGCTGAATTTGAAATTTATAAATTGCAGTTGGGCGAGGAACATCCCCTTAAAATTTCAGTCTTGCAGCTCTTCTGGTTACCGAGTCAGTAATTTCTCTACAGGAACTTTCATACGCCTTTACATGAGTACCACGCATGGATTATGGCTGAATTTGAAATATTTGATTTGTACTTGGATAGGGAATATTCCTCCAAAATTTCAGCTTTCTAGCTTTCCTCGTACCCGAGTTAGCAATTTTCCCCCCTTAAACTTTCATAAGCCCTTACATGAGTACAACGCATACTTGGAGGCTGAATTTGAAATCATAAGCTAGTACATGCACAGGGAATATCCCTACAAAGTTTCAGCTCCTTAGCTCGTGTGATTCCCGAGATCGCTTTCCCGTCAAAAAATTTGCATATATTTTTAAAGCGTCAGTGCGCGCTACCCAGGCGCCCGCGGAGGATGAAATTAAAACGGGAGGGTCGCGTGTGATATGGGCACATATCCCCAAAGTTTCAGCTTCCTAGCTTTTCTGGGTCTCGAGTTGAAAGTGGGTGGCAGAAAGTGCGAACATACAGACACACACATACACACACACAGACAGCCTCTTCCCAATATGCGTTTTAGCAATTTACATATATGCAAAAAAGCATAAAAACTGGTATTTGCTAATAATGCCCATATTTCAATTTTGAATTGTCTATATGCAAATCTTAGGCGTGTGCGGTAGCTGAATTTGAAAACTTTTGCTCACACATGACCTGAAAATATCCACGTGAAATAGCAGCTTTCTGTCCTGTCTAGTTACCAAAGACACACGAAAATGTTTCCGTCAAAAAAAAAAAAAAACGTATTTTAGGTATTAGATGCACGACCCAGGTGCGGGTGAACATTGGTTTTAAATCGGCAAAATCTTATGCAGGTAGAAACATTCTTATATAATTCCAGCTCTTTAACTTGTACTATTTTTGCCAAAAAATCCGAATACATACACACTCACACGTGTATCCGTACCCAGACATACACATACACACACACACACACGCACACACATACATGTTCGAAGCGACACCACTAGCCAGTATGCATTTGCATAAATATACAAGAACTCATAAAAATGAATCCGCTTTGCTATTGGAGGATTTTCAGCGAAACTTGGAATTGAAATGAGTTTAAACTGCAACTCGATTTTACCATGTGAACTGAGAACTTTTTTGATTTGCGGCACTTCCAGGAAAGTAAATCCGTTTTTCTCCAGTTCTTTCGACTGTTGCTTATTAAACGATTTCTCGAGGTTCGTGAAAATCTCGCTG